GGACAAATACAAGCTCTAAATCTCCTAACCAGCATCATTGGGAAATTTTTTACAAGGCCAGCATTTATTTGGGTTTCTACACAAGTTGGCCAGAAGCAGCTTATTTAAAGAATCAAATATTAATTATTTTTTTTAAAAAGGAGATGAGGCACTGACTGCATGGCTCGGTTGGAGTGTCGTCCCATGCACCAAAAGGCTGCAGGTTTGATCCCAGTCAGGGCATGTCTCTCCCTCCCCCAACCTAAAATCAATAAACATATCCTTAGGTGAGGCTAAAAAAAAAAAAGAGGTGGGGATGAGATGGATTTGGGGTGGAGGGCGAGTTCAGGCTCATGGTAGGCTAAATTCCAAGATGGCCTTTGAGATTCCCAGCCTCCGGTGTATACACAACTTCTCCCAGTTTTTCAGTTGAGCAATAATAGAGTGCTGCTGGAAGGGTTATTGGAGTTGTAATTAAGGGTCTCAAACTACCTCATCTCAAAATACAAAGATCATAGGTGGGCCTGACTATACATATGAGCCATTTAAATCTGTCTGGAGGTCAGAGACAGGGAAGTCAAAGAAGCTTGAATCCTGAGAAGGATTCTACCTGGAAGAGATATATCTCCATTGCTGGCTTTGGAGATGGAGGAAACCATGTGACAAGGAATGTGTGGCCTCTAGGATCTGAGAGGGATCCCTAGCTGACAGCCAGCAAGGAACCGGGGACATCAGTCCTACAACCACAGGAACTGAATTCTGTCAGCATTAAGTATGTGGTTGGAAACAGTACCCTTCCACCCATAGCCTCCAAGTGAGAACTTAGCCCAGTCAGCACCTTGACTCCAGATGTCTGACACCCTGAGCACATAACTCAGCCATGCTGAGCTAGACTTCTAACCTAAGGACGTGAACCCGATAAATGGGTGTTGCTTTAAGCCACCAAGTTTAGGATCCTTTGTTATTCAATGGATACGAGGCCCCAATCTTGACTCCATTGGATCGTTGTGGTAGCCTATTAACTGGTCTCTCTGGTTCTAGACTAGTGTTACTCAAACTGCCTGTGGGGAAGAAACAGTTGCTAAAATTTCAGTATGTCGCCAGCTGGTACTGGTAGGTTGAGTCTTGCCAGGATGGCTGTGAAGATCTCTGTCCTGTCCCACATGTTTTTCTTCCACTCCTCCATCAGGAGATTGCTCGAGCTCTCCTCCACCCCGGCCTGCATGGCCTTAGTGACTGGCTCGTAACCATTTAGAATGCAGTGGGGGCGGTACTTGCTACCCCAAGGCTTGGTTAGAAAAGGCCCTGCAGCTTCCACCTGGTTCTCTAGGCACTCTCAGCACCTAGCTGACTTGCGGCGGGAGGGCAGGTCACCAGGAGAGGGCAGCGGTGGGTGACCCAGTCACCAGGATTAACTGAGCTTCCTTGAGTCATACCAGTCCAGGTGCCAGACATGGGAGTGAAGAGGCCTTCAGATGACTAGAACAGCTGTGTCTTAGTCATTTACATCTAAATATTGCTAGATTTACTTTATAGTGAGCCTTAACTATCAAACATAAAATAAAATTAAAAAAAAAATTCCCAACACCAGGGCAATATTTGCTTTAGGCACAGGAGGGAGGTAGACTGTCAAATAATGTATCCCAAAGATGTTCATACATTTACTCGAAATGTTCTCATTCAAACAGCACCTCCTTTGTTAATAATATGAGCCACAAATATACAAAATCCCAGCATATCTTCCGAAACAAAACCTATAAGGAAAACCCTTTAATCACACGCAATCTATCATTAAAGTTAAGTTCACTGTTAAGAGGAAAAGCACCCCCCAAAAACAACAACAACAACAAAACAAGAAACACAACAATACAGTGAAGTAGTCCCAGGAACTACACTTGAGAAGGGCAGTGTTTCAGTTGACTCATCTGGCATCGCTTACGCACAGTGTGCTGAGATGGCGAAATGAAGGAGGAACGTATACTGTAGTTAATATCTTAACAGTCCTTTGAAGATGAGGGATCATTTAGAAAAGATCTCTGTTTTGTTTGTGTTTGGTTTAAAAACAATTCAGATACATCTCTCTACTTCCCGGCCTCCAGGCTGCCCATAAACCATAGAATTGCGTTCTTTTGGAAGTTAGTATATTACAGGCTCATGAGGGAAAATGATCCCGGTGATTTCAGCTCGTGGTGGCCAACCACAGTGGAGCCCTAAAATGAGAGAGCGTTTGCATCCTGATTTTCCAGAGTCCACTCTGATGACTGAAGACATGCTGCCAGGATACCTCTTTGAGAACTGGCAGCATCAGCTTTCTTTAGGGGTGAGCCTGGTCCTCCAGGCCTGAGAGAAGCAGAGCTCTGAGTGCCCCGCGACTCTGAGCCACTCATTCGACCTATGTTGGTAGGAAAAGAGATGCTCAAAGTAAGGAAACTGAGTTTTCATATTCAAATGATAAGAACATGTTGAAGACAAATGAATATTGTTTCCCCAGCAATCTGGAGTCTGGATTTCAGATGTTTTATCTATAACTTGTGGTACACACACACAAAAAGATTTTTATGTCACTACCCAGTACACATAGTATATACACCTATAACTGAAACAAAAATGTCATGCAACAATACTTTGTGTGACACCCTTGGGTACTCTCTATTTTATTATTTTTAATTAAGAAAATGCTGGTCAATGCCCAGTAGGCTCAGCTCATTGCTCACTTCTTACCTTCGGGAAAACCCGGGCCTTAGATTGCTGCAGATGTTTACAGCTGCTCTCATTCAGTCCTGGCTTTAGAGTTCTTTTGGAATTGCAATTGGGGTTAGTCCATGAATCATAGAAAATGTCATAGAAAAGTTTTTTAATTAAAAGTAATTTTATTCAGCTTGGGTTTCCTTTTATTTACCAGATGTGGCCCTAAATGATGTTAGTCAAGTTAAAGAACAAAATTGTTATGGTGGTTTGTTTTCAGAAGAATCTAAAGACTGGAGCGTTAGAGTTTAGTTAGGAGTTCAGGTTAGCTTGCTCAGCATGTAGGGACCTGAAGAAGCACTAGTTGTAATTTTTAAGAATGAATTAAGGTTGTTGATATAGTCACATGTTAATAATAGACTATATCTTATTTTTAAATTATTTTTTTATTGATTTTTAGAGAGAGAGGAAGCAGAGAGGGAGAGAGAGAAAAACGTTGATGAGAGAGAAACATTGATCGCCTGCCTCCTGCACACCCGCTACTGGAGATCGAGCCTGCAACCCAGGCATGTGCCCTGACTGGGAATCGAACCAGAGACCTCTTGGTGCATGGGACGAAGCCCCACCAACTGAGGCACACCGGCCAGGGTTATATTTTAAAATACTATCATGAGAAGTCTGGTGTTGGGAGTGGATGCTTGGATCTGATGTTGGGGTGACTGTGGGAGAGGCACCTGTCACTTCTAGGGACCAGTGGAGAAGAAGTGGTATCTGTGTCCCTGTGACTTCCTTGGCTTTGGTTGCTAGGGCAACCCTGACATGTATGAGCTTGGTATTTCAGCCTGGGCCTAATACGAGTATATATTATATAAAAAAAAAAAAAATTAAAAGACCAGCTTAGGAAAAGAGATTGTGACATGTAGGAAGCCGAGGAAGACTATCGGAAAGGTGCTGCCTGAAGCCGCGCTTGGTCTTAGTCTCTGCTTTTCCCATTCACCCAGCCACAGGGTAAGGAGCGTCACATTCGGATCTGAGCCTGCAATTGCCCCGGAAAGTGAGAGAATGTAAATGAATTTAGTACCTGTAGTCGAAACCTTTTCCCTCTAATATATTGAAACCACAGGAATAATCACATTTGGTTTTGCTAGATACTGGGATCGGGCTTTCTAAGAGCTTCGGTCTTTGGGAAACTCTTTGTATCTCACTCTCCTTTAAAACATATTTGTAAACACTGTGACCTTTTCTTGGGCTAGTCTCATGGGCTTTTCTTTTTTTTTTAAATCAATGTATTATCATAGACAAACAAGCTCCAGAGAGGCCAGGTGATAAATTCCCTTTCCATCCACCTGGCGCATTCTGTGAACTAGACAAATGGTGCGTACCTTCGAGGGCAACATGCTTAAGTGCTGCAGTTTATCATGCAAAGCAAATTCCAATAAAATTAAGGAATCTGATTTTTTTTAAAAAAAAACTGAAACAGGATCAGCAAATTACGGATTGTGGGCTAAATATGGTATACTGCTGGTTTTCGTAAATAAAATTTTATTAGAGCACAGCCGTGCCTGCTCATTGCCGTATTACTGATGCCTGCTTTTCCATCACAGTGACAGAGCTCAGTCGTTGCTATAGAGACTGTGTGGCCAGCAAAGCCTAAAATATTTACTGTCTGACCCTTTGCAGAAAAAAGTTTACTGACCCGTGGACTAAAGGAATATTTAGTGATGAAGTATTGTTCTTTTAAAAAAAACCACACCTGTCACTTTTGAATCAAGGCTATTTTCTCTTAAATTGCATGGAAAAATTCTTCTAGTAGATGACAGTTTTTAACTAGGTTTAATGAGGGAAGTGCCTAGAGTCTATTGGGTGATTGGTGTCTACATTTTTTCAAGTTAAAGATGATTAAAAAAATCACTGCACGTTAAATTGTGAATGCTGAGAAGGTACCTGATGAGGCACAAATGAAGGATTACAGTGTGACATGCTCAGAATTTAGCTGCGCGGTGATGGCAGGTTATGCCATCTGGCCGGCATTGCCCCGTTTGACAGTCTTCATAATAGTTGTGAATTGCAATAAAATTTTCCATTTTAAATATTCTGAGATTTGGCTTGCTACAGATCAGTAAGGCTAAGCTAATAGTCATTTGCAAAGAGGCTCCACATTTCTTGTGTTTAAATAGCTGTAGTTCAGCGTATTAAAAATGAGTATGTATTGAACCATGTGATCTCTCAGTCACAGAATTTAAGCAGTAACACGTGGGACCACAGTGCTTCATAGCAGGGTGGCAGTTGAAGTATGAGCTCTCTAATGTGTGGTTTATCTTTTTATTTTTTAACAGACTTGTGGAGGAAAGCAAACTGATCCTGCTCATTTTTGAAGTAATTCTGGTAAGGAACCGTGCATCTGAAATTTAAATTTTTTTTAAAGTTTTGACCATCTTGTGTGGTTGGGTTCTAACCCTAACTCTGCCCACAAGACTGTTGTGTGTCCCTCATGATCTGACTTAACCTTGTCGGGCCTCAGTTTCCTTGCCTGAGCTCTGTCCAACTCTGAAATTGCGTAGGGACACTGCTTAATGGCCTGCCATCTTTCTACAAGTCCTTTGCACACGTTGTCCAATATGGAAAGAATACCTTTCCTGAGGTTGGTGTGTGGACAAAGGGAAGGATGACCACCATGCTTCAGTGTGACTCTGATGTTCAGTGTGAAGGCCTCTGACTTCTTCGTCACTGAGTCAGATCAACAGCTTTTTGCCTCTGGGCAGAAAGTTGTCTTCTACAGAACGTAAAAGAGCTTAGCTCCCACGCACCATTTATTCAGAGAATGCAACTTAACTGGAAGCCATCTGGTCAAGAAAACATTCCATCGAAGGTTCCCGTGTGGAGAGAATACGGAGTTGACTTGTCTCACCTCTGATAAATCCTTACCTATAATCAATACAGATTGGAAAATCAGGCTGAAAGTTGAGTGGGTGCTTATAGCAAGGGATTGCCCTTAACCAAAGAAATGCCCTGTACCTGGGTGGGTCATCCCCCTTTACTGAAATCTTTCCCTCCATGGCTGCCCAACAGCACCAGGGGCAAAGAAGGGCACGGATCAGCCTAATCTACCTTGGTGGTCAATGGAGCAGTAACTGGGAGGGTCTGATAACCCTCCACATGGCAAACTAGCTTTCTTTAATCATCCCAAGACATTAACCTGCAAGTTGTTTGTGTGTTTATGCGGCTCTGTGGTGGAAACGTTAATTTTCTTAGCCCCGGGTCACCCTTTCCCTTGCGGAGAAGCTGGGTGGAGTTGCTGAGCTGTTGGAATTGGGTGGGAAGAAGTGGGTTGGAGCCTGGATTGGAATTGCCTCCCATAGTAGAAGGGTCTGACCAATGTGCTGTCTGCCCAAAGCTGATACATAACAACATTGAATGTTAACTGTCATTGAAAAAAATTTAACAATTCAAAACAACAAAAATCCAATAGTAAAAGGGGATTTTTAGAAGCCGTATTAGGAGAAGAGAGAGGGAAGGGGGTGGTGGTGAAGAAACATGCAGATCAAGAGCCTTCTAATGGGGATTTAAAGCTTTTCCAAGTGGTCTGCGTGTCTCCCCACCTTCAGTAGGACATACATACTTGCTAGTTTGTTGGGGAACTGGGTTTGTTTCTGACAGCAGTGGGTACAGTAAGCTGCTGGGTTGGGCCACATGCTTTGAGTGGGGCAGGAGCCTGTGCTGTCCAGGCTCAGCCACATTCCACATCCGTCTTGATTGGAAAAGAGACTGGTGATGCAGAGATAGAGACGTGGAGCTACCACAGGCCTTAGGGGGTGGGCGGGCGTCTAACCTGTTAAGGTCAATACAGCTCCTTTGGTGACTGATAAAACACTCTCATCTCAAGGTATAAAGTCTGCACATAGGAAATTTCTTCTTGGAGGTTAACAAAACCCCTCCATACTTGATTAACCTTCGTGTAAGGAGCACCTAGGCAGGCTCTGTGTTTTACAGGCCACAGTAAATGTTTAGTTGATTAATGCCATGATTTAAACACTTGTCATTGTATTGTGGCTGCCGCAGGGAGTGGGTAGACGGTGAAATCTCTCCAGGCCAGGATTTTAGCTGGTCCTGAGCCCCGTGACCTCGCAGGCCTGTGGGGGATGATGCCCTTCCTCCAGCTGGCATAGCTCTCTACGCAGGCTTCTTGTAGGACAGGATTTTATAAGGAGGCCCTGGCGCTGAAAAAGTAAAGAAAAAAAACACAGTTGGAAATCACTGCTTTGGGGGGGCAGGACTTTGATGTTATTAAAGAACATTATTAAATTGCTATTCTACTTTTGTCTTTTTTGAGTCCAAGAATAATCTCAGTTTTTTCCCCCTCTCTCTATAGATACATTTTCTAATCAATCAAATACCTTCGTAGCATTTATCCTGTGAACTGTTGCCTTGTCCTTCCTAAATTTTGTCATCAAACTAGGCATAAGATGGAATTTTATTGCTTTTTTTCAGATTTTAATCTTTCTGAAACTTGGATGTACTTTCCAAGTCACTGGCTTTTTACAATTGCTTTCTGCCAGGTGACCTGGTTGTCATTGATTTAACCAATTTATTTTCTTTTTCTTTTTATAAGTGCCCAAGAGTGATACACTATAAGGATATATGTCTGAACAAGTCTAAAATAGCTCTTTCAATAAAAATAAAATGAAAATTCTAGGTAATAAGAAAGCATGTCATAGTTTAATTGGCAGCATTTTTCTTAGTGCTTGAGAAAATAATGGTGCATCTTAGAACTGTCAGATTCCTAGTTTCAAGGGAACACGGTATATTCTTTAGTTAGGTTTGGTTTCTAAGTTCAAGGGCATATGTGGGGTCTAGAATATATGTAGCAGCTTTCAACAATGATTTAATCAGAAGGAGACATAATGAAAAGATGGTGCAGGGCCCTGCGTGCTTGCCTCCCGCTTGTGTCTTCCAGCAACCCATTCAAATAGCAAAACAGCATTGGACTCATTCAGCTGGTGGTCCACTGTGACCTCTTGATTACTTTTTTTCTTTACTCTTAGCCCAGAACTGTTTTCCAGCTTCTGTTTGATGTACTTAAAGCCCGATCATAGGCTTTATGACTTCTTTCTTCTTTGCTAGAGTTGCTCACACGCTGTGCTCTTACCAGCAGTGCCTCCCCTCCTGTGTGGTTTTCATTGAGAAAGCAAACCTTTCTTTTCCTGATGGGCTGGAATTGCAGGCAGCCTCTGCCTCCCCTCAGGCCTGGAGGAAAGCAAAGATGAAGAGAGCAGAATTCTGAGTCCAGTGTCCCATTGGCACAAAGTAGCCACGTGCAAGTCTTAAGAAAAGATTTCTGGGGTTGTATGCTAGAACCAAGAGCTCTAAGTGTGGATCACCCTGGTTAAATACATAGCCCATTGAAAGTAGTTTTTATTATTAAAAAAAAAAAGGGATAAAAGCAACCTCCAATTGTAACTGCCAACTCAGGAGACACAGTGCATCCTTCTGTCTGGGTGCCTAATATCGAGCCCCCTGGGTTTGTGGTGCAGGGAGAGAGCCAGGTGTGGGCACGTAATTGGTCAGGAGCAGTGTGGGAGCTTAATGGAGGACCCTGCGGGTCCCACTGGAGGCAGTGACCGACTGCTCAGTGTGGGGAGAGGGGTCTCACAGAAGTGACCTTTGAATGTGGCCTTGAAGGAGTTGTCAAGGGGAGAGGGAGCATCCAGTTTGGGGCATGGTGAGCTCTTAGCTGTGCCTGTGCCGGAGCCCAGGGAGAAATGTGGGGAGTGAGGCTGAAGGGCCATTTGGGCCCAGATCCTACAGGGCTTTATACTGTGGTTGTTTCATGCCAATACTCTATGCTCTCTAAAATCACATAGTATCCTCTACTTTAAAAAAAAATTAAATTTCAGAGCCTTCATGCTGCTGGGGCTACGCATCGTGAGGAGGTAGGCCTCTTGGCCACGGGGTTGGGACCAGGAGGGAATCAGGCTCGGCGTTGTGGGATTATACTGGAAACTTGAAACAGGCTGAAAGCTGGACCTGGGAGTTCTCTGCAAGCCCCCATCAGCCAGGCTTTTGAGATCAGCCAAAGGGGCTGTGGGGAAGGAAGCATGAAAGACAGAGCCGGTCTCAGATCCAGGGGCCCATGGACTCAGGGCGGAGCGCTGTCTGCCCTCCAGGAGAGGTGCCCGGCTCTGGGCAGGCCAAGCCCTGGGAAAGCCGGTCGCTGATCGCTCACGAAAAGGGGCTGTGGCGGCAGCCGGGTGCTGCTTCCCTGGCAGGGCCACCTGGGTGGGCAGCGTGTGTGTTGGCGAGACAGCAGCTGTGTTGGGCGGCGAGCGGAGGCGCAGGGGCACGCTCTGGATTAGCTGACGGTTCCTGCAGTCCTCAGGTCCCGGCGCTGCGGCCGTCGGGGTCCGCTTAATAAATGCTGTTCCCGAAGGAGGGAGCCCTCGCAGGAGCCCAGAGCCTTGGTTTATGAGTGTGCAGTTGCTGGGCGAGCGGGACGGGAGGCATTCTTTTTCCCCTCGTGCCACCTTCTAAAGAGTCAAAGTTGCATTTAAACGTGTCTCAAGTGTGAGTCTGGATGGATCCGCCTTTGCGTTTTGCTACAACCGTAATCTTTCTTCATTTTATTTCAGCGGTTTATGTCTGGACCTATTTCAGTAAATCATTTTAATGCCAAGTAATAGAGGCAAACTGTATTTCATTGGGAAAAAAAATCTTTATTCATGGCAGATTTTCCAATATGTGCCAAAATATCGCTGTCATGATGTTTTATGTGCCTGTTCCCAAACAAACAATTAAAGAGCAATTTCAGTGGCAAATGTTAACAATAAAAATGAGACTCGCAGTGCACTAGTTTGACAATTATATTGTTTTAACAGTTCTGGAGGATAGCTGTTGAAGCAGACGTTAGTAAATCTTCCGAGTCAACTCTATCTTTAGAAAAGAGTCCCTTTATGGGCCCTTGGAGCCTAAAGGATTTAATCACGGAGACACCAGTGCCGTGCAGACCGGCCGCCGCGTTACATTGAAGGAGTGTTTTCATCCCACCCAGGCTTTTAAAGCTACCCTGCACCATTCTCCTTGCAATGCGCCTAATGTGGATCGGGGCTTGGGGTATGTTAAAATGACAAGTTCCTTATAAGTTTATGAATCTGCATGCATGTGTCCATTATGCCCGTAATATAAGACTCTGCGGTGCACAGGGGCATGAATTTCTAAACTGGAAAACAAGATTTGATTGAAATTTCAAAATGCTTGACTTAGGAAGATACTTTCAGAGTTGTGCTCCTTATTGGCTGCAGGAGGTTAACCTCACTCTTCCACCTTCCTGTGCCCTGTCCAGGGCTTCTGCGTAACCGATTACACAAAGACGACTTCACACACAGCGAGCG